CGATCAATTGAATCCTCAGGAATATCTGAAATTTGACCGGCAAACTCTGACATAACTATAGACAGGAAAAAGAGGTGAACAGTATGTTAATAAAATGATAATTCGAGATACATTTCTATAGTTTTTACGAGAGGAATAGACCACCACCTTTTGATCCCTATGATCTCATTTGGAGTGTAAACAGTCATTCCAGATTTAGTTACAGCCAAATCGATTTAGTCATTTGGGCGCATGATTAACGGCACGAGTGGGCCCGAAAAACAATAGCAATTAGGTTTAGTTAGAGCCAATTTTCTCAAACCAGAAAAAAAAATTCAGAATTTGATTCCACTTAGATACTAACTATACAGCAATTCACATCATCAAAAACCTAAGCAATTGGCACAAATTTAAACAATGTAATTGATATTGTAATTTCACAGCAGGAAAAAATGACTAGAGCACTGATAAAGCTTTGGCTGAGTGAAAGTGAAAGACTAGAGCACTGGTGGTTTCATCTCGCAAACTTCATTTCTCGAGCTCTATTAATCACAAAGTTTTTTTCTTTCACGACAAATCATTTGCCGCCAGCATTCAAGGGAAAGATAGTTTTTTAATTCCAAGCAAACTTAAATTTTATTTCAAAAACTTGCAGGTCCAAAACAAACAACACTTTTTTTGAAAACTGAAACAAAATCATTTCATAGTTACAGCCCTTCTCGACACTCCTGAACAAAATGAACAAAACGAGATATATAAATACGCATTTTGCCAAAAAGAATTGACACAAATTTGTCTAAAATGAGAATGTATCAACGTTTTTTAAGCTAAAGCTTATTTCATAAAAAATTCTCTTTATTCATCAAAGAAAAACAAGAAATAGCACCTTAATGTCAAAACTTCGCCCATGCTCACTATTGAACCAGTTGCAACAAATCTGAATCAATTTCATTCTTTTTTCAAAAATTTTTTTGAAACTTTTGTACAACTTTTCGTTTTCATTTTTACACACATATTTGAATTCTTATTAAACCATTTTTAACTTTTTGAAAACATTTTTCAGGTTTTTGTCCCTTTTTAAATCAAAACTGTCCCTTTCCCAAGACCATTTTCTAACCAGGTAGGATGAATTTTAATCTTAATTAACTCCCACTCCAACTTTAAGAAACCAACAAAAACACTAAATAAAAAAATTATAAATCAGGTTACGCAATCTGAATCAGAACCATAGGCAAAAAAAAACCACATTTGTAATTGCAACATTATATTCAAAAGCTCGCGCTACAAAACTTCCAGGCTGGAAATTTACCGGAAGTTTTTCTTTTAGGAGAGTTAATTGCTCACACTATCAATCTGGAAAACTTGGGAAAACCTTAGAAAAAAAAGATATTATGAAAATTCCCTAAATTTTCACGTTTTTCAAGACTCAAATCGTTAATAATCTCTGAAACATAGTCAAGTTCACACACGACTAGATGACATTCATCCTCGCATTGGTGCTAAAAGACAAGTCGTCTATGATCTTCATGACAAAAGTGGATATCTCACAATTGAATCCATCGAACTGTAAAGGCAGCACTAAAACAAAGGATTTCAAGTAAAAAGGGTTCTTGATTGGAAAATACACCCAAACAAGTTCAACTCACACTAGATTTAAAAGATTACGCAACAAAATATCAAAGCATTCACTTACCATGTGAAAAGATGAAGGATATAGAAACGACACCCTAATATCAAGTATATCCAAGAATATGAAAATCAGAAAAGAATTCCTAAAGATACATTCCAGGGATGAAAACAAATTATAATGTTTTCAAGTGCACTAAATTCAGAACACGCAGTTAAATAAACAAAACCACCAATCAAACACAAAAATCAATTTTTTTTAACAGTGTACGAAAACAGGAAAACTAATTATTCATCAAGCCGCAACAATTAGAAAATGCGACGATGAAAAGTGTGATATAACTGTTACTTTAACCAAAAAGAATAACCAACAGACAGGGGAAACTCTTCTCTGGAATCCTGGATAGCAGACGCCTGCAAGAACAATCACTAATGAAGCACGCATATTTTGGATCAAAACACAGTAACATACACACATATATAAAGCTTGACTACAAGATTAACAGAACTTTTGAAGAAATATCACTTTGAAAACATGAAACACTTCATCACTTCTGTGAGCTCGAACGAAAAAAAACACTACAGCCATTAGCATTGGCTTTATCATAATTCCCCAGTGCAGGATGTGTTCTCTCCGGAAACGCTCAAAATTTATAAAACAACCTTTGGTACGAAATTAGTATAAGCGTTATATATTTTTCCAGATAAACGCTGCTCAAAGATTAGCCTTTTTCCTGAAAAACAAAACTCGTTTTGTAGACCGACTTTCACGACGAATTTGTTTATGGAATAACGCCGTCAAATATGGATCAAAAATAGCCCCAACGTGGTACAACTAAACCACAAAGAAGATAAAGAATTATCTCACCATACACTATAGTACACCAATGCTGAATGCTTTCGTGAAAAAGCCCGACAACTAAATATTGACGTAAAATCAATGAAAATTTACGGGAAGTCAGATATACAAATCATAGCAGAAGATAACCATTTTGAGAACTTCGCACCAAAATGGATACAATTCAACGACAATTTTTAGATCGAAACTTAAGAAAAATTGACGAAACTTCAGGATTCTCAGATGTTTACGCAAAATTTTGTAGTCGATGTTCAAAGATATTAAGGACTATAACTACCTCAGAGGAGAAAATTATCAGCCTTAAGCTTTCAATCCTCAAACGCCAATTCTCTGTCACATCAATCAAACTCAAGGACCTCATCTCCTCTCCCTACCACAATTGCATTCCATTTTTTCCATCTATTTTGTCAAATTCATCCCACATGCAATCTGCGACTCCACACAAACTGCTTTTAACACTCGAATTTTTTTAAAAAAAAACTACGCATTGCCACTCCAGGCAGATTCCCGGCCATGCTCTACTACAAACTTTTGGCTACCACCTTTACCCTCATTCTCTTCCAGTTCCGGTAATCATCCTCTCATCTAACTCATCCTATGCAGATGCTACCTTCATTCTTTCACCAATTTCGAGCCATATTGACGACACTCCTAATTATGTAATCGACAATCAGCTTGACACGATTTGAATAACTTTAAGTAACATTAGCAGCTATAACACAATAATAAAACTCCACTCACTATAGAACAGTTAAACCAATCCGCCCCCCTTCTGATGCATCTTCCATTCGCCCAACCCGAGGTCAACGTTCAGTCATGAAACGAAAATACGCATTTATTCCTCATATATACCTAGTCAACCTCTCTTCCACGTCACGAAATCACCGAAGTAATCATGATAGACACATTAATACACTTGAAAACGTACTAGAACCCATCCCAGTTTTCCCAAAAAACTAAGAAGAAGGAACAACAAAACCGACAAGATAATTATGTAGATGAAAAATCTATAGTCGCCAAACGCTCTCGGATCATACTACTCAGAAAGTCAAATGTTTAACAGCTATCCACCAGATTACTTATGCAATTCAAATAAAGGATTTCACTAACGTTGGTTTGTCACAGTTACTCAACCGCTACCTTGCACGCAATTCCAATCAATTCGCTATATCCTACTGCGATCAGTCCAATGATACATGGAAGATTCACCATACAACACCGACCCTCGCGTAAATTCATAATTAACAGAACAATTTTTTATCATAAACAGTTTTTTTTCTATTTAGTGTTAATTTTCTGCTTGTTTTGAAAAAAGGATCTGACGTTACAAAAATTTGTAGGCATATTAGACAGTCTTAGTAAGAGATGCCACCTGTACAAAGTTTTTTATAGAAACAAAATCTGAAAAAGCAAAAAAAATGAAAAAAAATTTCAAAATTAAGAATTTTTTTGAAATTATTAAGTTTTTGGTTCCCAAAATTAACCTGGAAGCTCCAAAATTGAAATCGCTTTCTTTACTCAAACCAAATTTTCAAACCGATTTTTCTCGACACTGGGTAAATTGTTTGGAAATTATCTGATGTGGAAAGCCATTATACTAAAAGTAGTCCTCTGTTAAGTTTTTTCAGAAATGACGATCTCAGTTTTTACAGAGAAAGAATCAAAGTTTGTGGCGAATTTTAATTTCTTTTCAGCATCGAAACCACAAAGTTTTCTCCAATGTGTTTTGAAAACCTTTTTTAGACTCATGCTCTAAATCCATTGTTTTGAAGTTTTTTAAAAATGGTTTTGTGTTTTTGTGTTTGTAGTTTGTATTTTTGTCTTATCTCTTCAGCTAAAATTGCTTTGAAAAAAAGTTCAGTGATTTCTGGTTGATCAAAAAACAAACTTAAAACGAGTTGATGTTGATAGTTGAAATTAGAATCTAAAAATGTGATATTTTTAAACTCATTCATACAAACTTCTATTATTTCTTGCCTACTTTTGAAACCAGCTATCGAAACCATGAAAGTTTAGCGCACATCAAAAACTGTCTTCTTCAAAAAATATATTTACTGCTCAGCTTATCAGAAAGCACCAATGGTCATAAGCAAGATAACATGGATTGAGTTCCGAGACCAAAGTATGTACTGATTCTGCAACAGCCGACTTTTTTTTTACTTGGCCGACTTTTCTTCAAAGACAATTAGCTGTTTTCATTTTTAAAAAAAGTTTCTTTTTCTTTTCAACCACTGATGTAATTGAACTTTTAAAACTAAGAGATAGGAGTTGTCTAAAAACTGGATCAGATTGAACGGTTAAAAAGCAGCAGAGTTCAGAAGCTAGAGAACAGCGTATTAAAACCATGAGATCAATTATTTACCATAAATAGAAGAAAAGTGTAAAAAAGTACAAAGAATGGTAAAATCAAATGATTTGGTAAAAGAAAACGTTCAAACTTATGGCACTTCTTGTGCGCTTGCTCTATTACTGATTTTGTTATGTTTTACATATATTTAAAACAATTGTACAAAAATCTCAGCTCGGCACAGTTGAGCATCACCAGTCTGAGTTTTAAAGAACACAGTTTTTACAATCAAGTAACTAACCAGTTTTGAAAGAACTTTTCAATAGAGGTGTGTTAAAAGTACAAAAAGTAGTTAGCGTATTTGTATTATCATGCAAATCAACTAACTCTGATTTGATAAAGTAAAAACTGAAAAGTGCTCACGTTTACTGTACGTTTTCTCTATCAGCGATGTGATAAATTTTAAAAGTAAACGTGCCATTTTAGCTTCTTAAAGATAAAACATAGAATAAATTGTTTTTATTCGAGATATCAAAAAGCGTACTAAACAGTTTTTGTTTCACGAGTTAATATCAAGCTGACATCTGATTTGAAATCTGATTTTATCCCACATCCGCACATCTCGAAGTTGCCAACAAAAAACAAGTGAGTTGTAAATTATCTACTTATTTAAAAAAAAAATACGACTGATTAGTTTTGATGCTTGACAAAGAAGTATATTGACAGGGGAAAAGAAAAATTATCTGTATAACCAAGGAAAACAGCTCCATAAAAATCTGAAACCAGATTTTTGCTAGAATCCAAATGGATAAAGTAAGGAAAACACTTTTATCATGGTAGACAGCCCAGAAAGAAGGCTCCAGATGACAGATTTAAAAAAAAATGTTTCGATCAGTTTCAATCCTTGCAAGAAATTGTATACTTTTCTAGACGTGAGCTCCCAGTTGCGCTAGAATCCACATTAAAGGGTTTCAGACAATTTTGTAGAATTCCAAATGAAAATCCTTCAGAAATGATAGAGCCGCATATCCAATCGTTGACCCCGAGGCTCTGATTTTGGGTCGAGAGGACATGAAAACTCCGGAGAGGAAAGCCAAAAAAAATCATTCTTTGTCGAAGTTTTCCAATAAATGCCATAAATTGGAAATATGCTCTGTAAGTTTTTTGGATAACAAAAAAAAGAGCAACATATTTTTTCTGAAAATTCGTCGCTCTTCTCGATAAAATCCTAAACCTTTTCTTAACTTCTTGCCTTCCCTACATGATATGCAGATGGTTCAATTTTGTTCAATTTTGTTTTAGATCGCTAAAGTATCCGTAAATTAGCCCTCAGTTGGCACTTTTTTACATCTCTAGTGGTGTTGACCGCAAAATTATTGCAAAAACCTAATTGAAAGCCAGTCTGAAAACGCTAATGGCTGCATCCAGTTCTTCGAGATCAGGAGAAAAGAGAGAAGGAGAGAAAGTCGACGTACAGTGTCCAGGATGTGGATCTGAGTTTGACGAGACTGCTTTCGAGCTGTTATGTGGACATTGCGTCTGCAAAACTTGTGCATCCAAAGCTGACTCTAAAACAGGTAATTTTTTTAGATATCTTGTTTAAAGCTCGAAGTAATATGAACAAAACGGATAAGCGATCTTATATTCATAATTGCATAATTTTTAGTTATGTGATTTGACCAAGGTCAGCGCGCTTATTGCTCGAAAAGTTTATTTGTTTGAAAATAAATATCGAGCTCCAACTTATGTTTTATTTATCCAACTTATGTTTGTCGAACTATCATAAAAATTGTTTTAGTCAATAAGTGCCCCGTCATGAGTTGTACAAGCCATTCATTGAAGACGACAGAAGGAAAGAAGCTGCGTTTCGAAGATCTGGCGGAAAGACCATCTAACATGTTGAACAGTTTTGCTATGGTGCCACCACCTCCATACAGCTTAGAGTCAGGTAGGCAATAAGAACTCCTTAATCAAATATATTGAAACCAATAGGAGTATCTAGATAATGCTTCTTAGAAAGTATTATCTGTAAGGAAAAAAATCAAATAAACTGAAATGTCGAAAGCATTTGAAGCATTTTTACACTCCATCTGGAAATTAGTTTGATAACCGTAGGTTTTCAACATATCTATGTCGCAGATTCGAACTTGTGTCACAAAACATTGTGTTACAAAACACTATAGTGTTGGAAAACACCATGTTAAGTAATAGTAAATGTTGGCCGCTTTAAAAATTTGGCTTGATGCTTCTTCCTGTGATTTTGGTTCGTTTTTTTAAAGCTGTGTTTTAATTTATGACACTAATTGCTTCTGTTGATGTTATTTGCTCCAGTGATCTCAAACTGGTCCAAATTTGGAGCCTGGCCATCTAGTCTACAATTAGTTTTCCAGCGGACAACTAATTCCAATTAGTTTTGATTCGCGGACATTAGTTATGAAACTAATGCTTTTCACTAGCAAAGTAGAATCGTTAAAATTTCTAGATTTATTTTCTACTTTTTAGGGAACATCGGTTGTGGGCATCGGTTTCCCCTTCGCCCTGATAAAATCTAGAATGTTCCATGAGAACCAACCATTCGCATGCACGCTCTGATAACCATTTTGCCGCGCAAACTCTACAGAGACTCGACACGCCTCTGATAACCAAAGTGTCGCACACATTTCTCTGAGAAGCACCTGATCGCGCACACTTCTCTGAGAACCAGCTGGTCACACACACTCTACAGATATCCAATTGGTTGTAATCGCCTATGAGGATCAACTGGTGGCACAAACTTCTCCGAGAACCAAACTTCTCCTCAGACTCAATTGAGAACCAGTTGATCGCAAGCACTCGCACATACTCAAGTGAGAACTAACTGGTTGCACACACTTGACTGAGACCCAACTGCGCGCACCTACTTGTGTGAAAACTAACTGGTCGCAAAAAACTTGCCCAACACCAACTGGTGACACAATGTCGCCTGAGAACCAATTGGTCGCATATATTCGCCTGCGAATGAACTGGTTGCCAATCTCGTCTGGAACCAACTGCTTGGACATATTTACATGAGAACCAACTGGTCCCATTACTCGCCTGAAAATCAACTGGTCACACACACTCGCCTGAGAACCAACTGGTCGCTTACAATTGGATGAGATTCAACTCGCCGCACACACTCGCCTGGAAACACATGGTCACACAGACTCAAGCGAGAACTAATTGGTTGTACACACTAGAATGTGAGACCAGACTGGACGCACCTACTTTTGTGAGAAACAATTGGCCGCAAAAAAATTGCCCGACATCAACTGGTGGCACAAAGTCGCCTGAGAACCAATTGGTCCCACATAGTCGCCTGAGAATGATCTGGTCACCAATCTCGCCTGAGAACAAACTAGTGGCACTAGCCTGGAACCCAACTGCTCCTACAAACTCTGCTGGAACCACCTGAATACGCAGACTCACCCTAGAATCAACTCGTCGCACACACTCGCCTGGAAATAACATGGTCACACAGACTCAAGTAAGACCAAACTGGACCCACCTAATTTTGTGAGAACCAACTGGCGCAAAAAGCCTGCCCGACAACAACTGGTGGCACAAAGTCAACTGAGAATCAATTGGTCGCACATATTTGCCTGAGAATGAACTGGTCGCGAATCTTGTCTGGAACCAACTGGTCACACACAAGCGCCTGAAAACCAACTGGTCCCATATACTCGTCTGAAAATCAACTGGTCACACACACTCGCCTGGGAACCAACTGGTCGCTTACACTTGGATGAGAACCAACTGGACGCACACTCGACTGAGAATCAACTGTACGCACAGACTCATCTGAGAACCAACTGGTTGCAAATACTTGCCTGAGAACGAACTGTTCGCACATAGTCGCTTGAGAATCAAATGGTGGCACATATTTGCCTGAGGATCAACTGGTCGCATACCTTCGTAGGGTAACCACCTGGTCTGACAAACTCACTTGAGAACCAACTGGTCGCGCACTCTCGCCTGAGAATCAACTGGTCGCACATACTCTTAGGGTAACCACCTGGTCACACACACACTCGAGAACCAACTGGTCGCGCAATCTCGTCTGAGAACCAACTGGTCCCACACACTCACCTGAGAATCAACTTGTCGCACTTCCCTGCAAACCAACTCGTCCCACACACTCGCTTGATAGCCAACTGGTCGCACTCGCTCGCCTTGAAACCACCTGGTCACACACACTCGCTTGAGAACCAGCTGGTCCCACACTCTCACCTGAGAACCAGCTGTACGCACAGACTCAACTGAAAACCACCCGGTCGCACACTCGCCTGAGAGCCAACTGTAAGCACAGACTCAACTGAGAACCAACTGGTTGCAAACTTTCGCCTGAGAACGAACTGTTTGCACATAGTCGCCTGAGAATCAACTGGTGGCACATATTCCCCTGATAATCAACTGGTCGCACACACTCTTAGGGTAACCACTGGTCAGACACACTCACTTGAGAACCAACTGGTCGCGCACTCTTGTCTGAGAATCAACTGGTCGCCCACACTCTTAGGGTATCCACCTGGTCACACACACTCACTTGAGAACCAACTGGTCGCGCAATCTCGCCTGAAAACCAACTGGACCCATATACTCGTCTGAAAGTTAATTGGTCACACACACTCGCCTGAGAACCAACTGTACGCACAGACTCAACTGAGAACCAACTGGTTGCAAACACTCGCCTGAGAACGAACTGTTCGCACCTAGTCGCCTGAGAATCAAATGCTGGCGCATATTTGCCTGAGGATCAACTGGTCGCACACTTTCGTAGGGTAACCAGCTGGTCAGACAAACTCACTTGAGAACCAACTGTTCGCGCACTCTCGCCTGAGAATCAACTCGTCGTACATACTCTTAGGGTAACCACCTGGTCACACACACACACTCGAGAACCAACTGGTCGCGCAATCTCGTCTGAGAACCAACTGGTCCCACACACTCAGCTGAGAATCAACTTGTCGCATTCTTCTGGAAACTAACTCGTCCCACGCACTCGCTTGAGAACCAACTGATCGCACTCGCTCGCCTTGAAACCACCTGGTCACTCAAACTCGCTTGGGAACCAACTGGTCCCACACTCTCACCTGAGAACCAGCTGTAGGCACAGACTCATTTGAAAACCAACTGGTCGCACACTCGCCTTAGAACCAACCGTACGCACAGACTCAACTGAGAAACAGCTTGTTGCAAACAGTCGCCTGAGAACAAAATCTTTGCACATAGTCGCCTGAGAATCAACTGGTGGCACATATTCGCCTGATAATCAACTGGTCTCCCACACTCTTAGGGTATCCACCTGGTCACACACTTGCTTGAGAATCAATTGGTCGCACTCCCCTGGAAACCAGCTGGTCCCACACACTCGCTTGAGAATCAACTGTTCGCACACACTCATAGTGTGACCACCTGGTCTTAGTGTGACCACCTGGTCACAGACACACTCACTTGAGAACCAGTGGGTCGGGCACTCTCGCCTGATAATCAATTGGTCGCACACATTCTTAGGGTAACCACCTGGTCACACACACACACACTCACTTGAGAACCAACTGGTCGCGCAATCTCGCCTGCGAACCAACTGGTCGCACAGACTCAACTGAGAATCAACTGTTCCCACACACTCGCCTGAGTTAACTTGGCGCACTCCCCTGGGAACCAACTGGTCCCACAAACTCGCTTGAGACTCAACTGGTCGCACACACTCACTTGAGATTCAACTAGACGCGCACTCTCGCCTGAGAACCAACTGGTCGCACAGAATCAACTGAGAATTAACTGGTCGCACAGACTCATCTGAGATCCAACTGGTCCCACACACTCGCCTGAGAATCAACTGGTCGCACAAAATTGCCTGAGAACGAACTGTTCGCAGACTCATTTGAAAACCAACTGGTCGCACACTCGCCTTAGAACCAACCGTACGCACAGACTCAACTGAGAAACAGCTTGTTGCAAACAGTCGCCTGAGAACAAAATGTTTGCACATAGTCGCCTGAGAATCAACTGGTGGCACATATTCGCCTGATAATCAACTGGTCTCCCACACTCTTAGGGTATCCACCTGGTCACACACTTGCTTGAGAATCAATTGGTCGCACTCCCCTGGAAACCAGCTGGTCCCACACACTCGCTTGAAAATCAACTGTTCGCACACACTCATAGTGTGACCACCTGGTCTTAGTGTGACCACCTGGTCACAGACGCACTCACTTGAGAACCAGTGGGTCGGGCACTCTCGCCTGATAATCAATTGGTCGCACACATTCTTAGGGTAACCACCTGGTCACACACACACACTCACTTGAGAACCAACTGGTCGCGCAATCTCGCCTGCGAACCAACTGGTCGCACAGACTCAACTGAGAATCAACTGTTCCCACACACTCGCCTGAGTTAACTTGGCGCACTCCCCTGGGAACCAACTGGTCCCACAAACTCGCTTGAGACTCAACTGGTCGCACACACTCACTTGAGATTCAACTAGACGCGCACTCTCGCCTGAGAACCAACTGGTCGCACAGAATCAACTGAGAATTAACTGGTCGCACAGACTCATCTGAGATCCAACTGGTCCCACACACTCGCCTGAGAATCAACTGGTCGCACAAAATTGCCTGAGAACGAACTGTTCGCACAGACTCATTTGAAATCAACTGGTCGCACACTCGCCTTAGAACCAACCGTACGCACAGACTCAACTGAGAAACAGCTTGTTGCAAACAGTCGCCTGAGAACAAAATGTTTGCACATAGTCGCCTGAGAATCAACTGGTGGCACATATTCGCCTGATAATCAACTGGTCTCCCACACTCTTAGGGTATCCACCTGGTCACACACTTGCTTGAGAATCAACTGGTCGCACTCCCCTGGAAACCAGCTGGTCCCACACACTCGCTTGAAAATCAACTGTTCGCACACACT